ATACCCGGAACGCTCGGGACGTAGAAGATATAGTCGACTCAAGAACGACCGGTTTGAAGCGTGTTCTTTCAATTCACCGAAGATTTCTAAACCGTGCTTCCTCTTCTTTCAGGCGTGGGCCTGATGACCCGTAAAGTGGGTAGCAGCGTGAGTCCTGTCGTTGAATTAACGGAGGACAGTGGCCTGTACACGCTGAAGACGACCAGCCCGTTCAAGAATTCCGAAATAAAATTCAAGCTCGGCGAGGAATTCGAGGAGGAGACCCCGGACGGCAGGAAGGTGAAGAGCGTCTGCACCATGGAGGGAAATAAGCTTGTTCAGATCCAGAAGGGCGAGAAGCAGACCACCATCGAAAGAGAGTTCACGCCGACGGAAATGAAGGCGGTACGTATCACGCACACGATTACACGCGGCAAGTGAACGCGGATAAGACTTCTTTTTCATGATCGGACGTGTGAAACGTTTATCGTTGACCCCTGTAACTCGCCGGATGACTCGTTACCGTTTCGACTGAACGGTACACGGTAAATCTAATAAAATCTGCCCGATAATCAATTACGTAATGTCGCACCGTGGGAGATCATTAAAGAATTATAAGCCTGACGGTTCAATTGAGTTAGGTTTCGTGCAATGGAAGCCAGGCTGTGCAGGGTTGAACGACACAACGAAAGATAACAGGGCTGAACGTCTAATGATAATAACAATGGGTATGTCATTGGTCAAAAGGTCCGACAATTACCGCGTGCCTCTCGTATTCGTGACTCGAACAATTTAATAAGAAGCTCAATAATGAAGTTAATGATAATCAATTGCGGCGAAACCTTGGGGGCCAGTTGACAAAAAAGAATCGCGTGCACGCGAATGTTACTTTTTTATACGATTATCGTATCCGACTCGTGAATAAATAATAATCAATTGCGTTTATTATGTTGCAGATAATGAAAGTCGACGATATTGTATGCACGAGAGTATACAAGGTCCAAGAGTAAAAGCATTTCTAACTGGGAAATGATATTTTTCTGACCAGCGATGGATCAACAACGTCAAAAGTTATTGTTACAAAGAATGATACATTGTTTTTTTTTATAAATGTAAAGAGAGGCAGAGAGTATATGTTGATACGTATAAATGCTACTGCTGTTATTTCAAATGTGAAAATGTGCGCGCACACTGTTTCCGAAGCGTATATTCATATTTATATACGTTAAACATAATTGTAGAACGTACCGAGAAATCCGACGGTTTATATATTTTGTACGCTTGTTTGAATTTGCTTTCGCACAATCGAAATCTTTATAAATAAAGAAATTGAAGTAACTATGTGTTTTGTAAAAAGTAGTATTTTTTTATATATAGATATATTTACAATTAGTATTACAAAAAATGAATGAACGTTCATAAAATAATTTCGATAAAAAAGTACTCTATATATTTTTTATCCCATTACTATGTACAACTTTATAATACTCCATATAGATTTATAGTACAATTATTCATCTGGGTCTATCACCGGTGAAATCTGAAAGAATATTTTTCATATGCTTGTATAGGGCATTCAAAATTTTCTGATTATGTAAATAAGATAGAAAGAAGTTGACTCTTACATAATACTCTATGTAACAAGTATGACCCTCATCTGTTTTCACCATATATTGAAAACATAACAATCCACACACATCGGTTCTCAAAGAAACTTTATTAGCACATGCCAATGCTTTCATAGCTGGTTTAATATGTGACAACTTATAACTAGATGTTGCTGTTGAAGCACACTGAAAACTATCTACCAAATCCCCATCATGTGGTAATTCAACGTGACAAATTCCAGCTAATCCAGCTGTGCTAATTCGAAAATATGGAGCAGAAGGTGACAAAAGAAGCTATAAATATAAAAATTTAACTGTAGAGCTACAATACTATTAACACCTCAATTTAATTTTGGTCTACCTCTATTAAATCACTGGTTGGATCAAGCTCAGATAGAATATCCTTCAATAATTCAGTCTGCAAAACTACTTTATTCAAAACATTTTCTGGTTCAAGATGAAAGTCTAACAATTCATCAGGTTCTTGAGTTTTTAAAGAACAATCTGTTATAATACCATCTTCTTCTATAAGAACTGTTACCGGATATCCAGTGCCCTATCATTATAATCATTATTAAGTAAATTTAATTATAATTATAACTATGAAATTTATATAATGTTCAACTGATATATACTTTATAAAAAAGTTGAAAAGTTACTGAACTTCCTTGAGAATTGATATTGCTCCAAAACATACAAAGACATTCAACTAGTACATTTAAATTTATTCGAAAAATTACATCTTCCTGTAAAGTAAATTCTTGGAATACGTGAGATGGAATATAAGCACTGGCTTGCATACATTTTACATCTTCCACTGTTAATTTTAAACCATTTTCTGTCCCAAAACATGTTGCACTCTAGATAGAATGCATGAAGTATTATATCAAATACGTGAAATATATTTGATGTTTAATTTAAAAAACTTTGTTACTGTACCTCTTTAAAATTAATTGCTTTCAATAACTGTACTATAGTCTTAAGATTTCCCAATTTTGCAACTAATTTATGACCTTCTACATCAGGAAACATGTTGCTGATATGAAACCTGATATAGTAATAAGTCCTGAAACTGATCTTCTGTTATATATTGATAAGATAATTTACTTTTAGTGACTGTAGCTAACCAGCCTGCTAAAACATGTTTGCAGGTGAAGATGGATTTATCATTGAGTACTTGACATCTGTGATATTGAAATTTTATAACACCAGGTGTAATTGATTTTTAGTATAATTTTATGGAATTTGAAATTATAATACCTAAATGATGCACAAGTGCAATAATTTATGTCAGGGAAAAATATATATATTTCTCCTGATAATCCTTTAACCTGTATTAAATATCTTGCATTATTCATATCAGTGGGTACAGCTGCATTAACATCATTGCATGGATAAATATGAGTTATACGTCCTTGTTCATATAATTCCAATGCCCTTTCAAATACGCCACCAAAAATGTTATACAAGTTGAACAAGACTTTATCAGAGACTAAAATCATTAATTATGACATAAACAAACAAGGCAGAACATTAAAAGATATATGTTACATACGTTTTTGTTCCTTTTGAAAACTTTCTGCCGTTTCAGCTAGTGTTTTATGTACAAGTTTTATAAATTTTGCATCATATTTATTAGGTACAGAAACATTGCTTACTAATTGTTGACTGGAACTCATGAAAATGAGTATTCTTCGTACTTGATTCTATTATTTTATCTAATTATCTTACGATAATATGACATAAAACAGCCTAATAACAACTAAAAAATGAAAATAACACATTAAAATTATTTAAGGTTATTTGTTCAAATTCTAAATAGTACAATGTATGATTGACAATTGAATAATGATTGATAATTAAGGTTCTTATATTGATTATTTTCTAACACAAACACTTTTAACAAACCACACTTTTAGCATAATAAAAGATACTTGAAAATAAATAGTTCTATTCGTCAACAATTAAACATACACTATAGCTAACTTCACGACATAAACAGTTAACTTACATGTTGCCAATTGAATAACAACACTGTGAATCGTATTATAACTAGTGCTAGTAACTAAAGGATGTATAAGTTTGTATTAAATCTGTTTCGATTAACTTGTAATTAAACTGATTGCTAATATTTTTCTCTGAAATATAATAAGGAAATATATTATAAATTTATACAAACTATTACGTATGATATTTGAATTAGAATTAGTAACTATACTGATCAGCAGTGAATAGATTGGTTGCACTGACTATTCAAAACGAGGTAATGGCTGTTTGCTACAACGAATACACAACGAACGTTACAATTATATTTTAAAAGAGAGTTTAAGTTCTGTAAATGAATATCAGTGAATGTAATTAAAATTTTAATAAGAAGGTAACATGAGTCAGCATCGAAGATACGCTGGAGATTTTACAGATACATTAAACAGTTTCCGTAAGTGAATATAATACAAATGCTTTATTCCTATACCAAATATTAAAATATACTTAACTAATTATTGAATAATTTGTTTTTTAGAATATGGTACCAGTTCTGATACTCTTGATTCTATATCTCAAGATAGTTTAGATCAGATAAAAACATGTAATTTTCCTTCAAATGGATCTACACGCACAAGTAAACATTCAATTATTTTAGCTGGCAGTTATACAAAGGATTCTCTAGTGCCAGAAACATCTACACTTGTACCGTCAGCACCAGATTTAAATAAATGGATTGATTTATTTCAAAATGACAATTTAACAGATGAGTTTGTAAATAATGCTGAATCTAAACATTCACGTGTGAAAGTTGATAATAAGGAAAATATTGATCCTCAATGTGCAATAAGGGAAAATACAGTTTCTAAAGACAAGTATGTATTAACACCAACTTCGTTGAATAAAGGAAAGAGAGATACAAATTATAATATTCATCGCAATAAATCTGATAAAGTTTCAATGCCAGAACGAAATATACATAAGACAATAACAAAATCTTGGCCCATTCTACTTAACTGTAAAAACACATATACAGATACTTTTGATACAAAGTATGAATATGAACAGGAAGCCACAGAAATAAACAAATTTGAAAGAATACTTTGCTCTTTAGATAATAAGTTAAATCAAATAAAGGAAGTGTCACAGTCAGAACCAATTTTAAAGCGTTTGTCTGAGAAGTTCGTGAATTCACCAACAAATTTCACTGAAAAGCTAGTAACTATTATTGAAGAATCAGTTTTAAATAATAGTGAAGATACATCTAATACATCAGCAATAAATTTAAGTAGACTGACAATTGAATTTCGAAAAATGTGTAAATTTATAGAAGATGAATCTTGGCCTGAATGGGCACCTTCTCTTCCTTCTACACCTCCAAACTGTGATGAGGTTTTTACAAGTCCAATTTCTACTAAATTTATCAATAACAAACACTTAAAAAAAGAGAAATCATTTACTACACCAGTAAATACAGCTTCACCTAGCACACCACTATCTGCAACAGATGTACTTAAGAAAAGGTTCTTCCAGAAGATTTCAAGAAAAAATTTTAATGGAAGTAATGATGGTATGAATTTGTCGTCAAATATGTCTAGTGTTGAATCATTTGAACGTTTAGAAGAGCAATGTAATAAATTATTTCCTCAAGAGAAAGAAGTTTTTACACCTTTACAGAGGTGTTCTTCAATGCCTTCATTGTTAAGTATCACTCAATTCAAAGATATTTGTGAAGAACAAATGGCTTCATTGGATGTCTCTAATATATATAACAAAAAGGAAACTGTTTCAAGTACTCCTGATTTATTGAATAAATGTATAGAACAAAATTCATGGGCAAATAAATTAGATTTGAAATGTACTGAATTACAAACAGAATCGGATCATAAATCAATAGATTTTGAATATAGAAATGTATCATATACCAAGAAAAAATCTATAAAAAGCAACGGGGATTCAAACTTTAATAAAGTAAATGTTGATAAAGTTACAAATGATTATACAGCATTTGATACAGATGAATTGGAAAAAACACTCCTACAAGACATAGCACAGAAAAGAAAGCGGTGTCTTGATACGGCAAGGCTTATTACAGAAATTAATGCAGATGCTGAAGTTATGGGAGACACAAAATCATTAGAAACGTCTCCAGAATTTTGTAATCTGAATGAATCAAACTCATTAGCCAACAATGAAGTTAAGTTTCTGAAAACTTTGATGTCTTGTAAAAATTATTTAACATACTTAGAAAAGCAGAAACCCTTCTTTAATCTACTTGAGAGATCAGAATCTTACACACCCAGAACTCCAATGAAAAATAAAGAAATCACTGATATTAAAAATACACAAGCTGACCACTCAGGGAAAGGATTTTTAAGTATGGAATCACCTATTCACACAAAAAGTCCCTTAAACTCAAATATAAAAGCTTATGAAATATACGATTCGCCACTGTCAGGGAAAATAGATAACACAAATAGAGAAAAAGCAGAACAGGCGAAAGCAAAACTCTTTGTTACACCAGGTAAAAATCCTCCAACAGCAAAGTATAAAAAGAAGAAAGAATATTTTCCCGGTATGTATAGTCCCAAAAAGCATGCCGTGGAAGATCACATTTTGAAAAGTCCACATGCTAAAGGGTTGTACAGATTGAATTATAATAAAATAATATCGCCAGTTGGTATGTATATAAGAGGTACAGATATGCAACTTATAAAAAACGTACATGCTAAACCAGATGACCTCTTACTTACACCTGCAAAAAAGTGTATGAAATCATCGCCAAATGTAAATTCCAAACAATTAACACCGCTAAATGGGATAATTAATTTATCACCAAAAGCAAATCCATTACAAAAGCAACAGGTATGCATAAGCATTAAGCTTTTAATGAAGGAAATACTTAATGTAAAATACTCTATTAGGGATGTTTACAAAATTTGTTCAAATCTTTCACAGGTAAATCCAACAAATAACAAAACTAATACCTTTAAAAACCATTTCATATTGCCAAAAACATCTTATAAACTTCCTACACAAGTAAAAACGGTATGTATATTAAAATGATTATATTTGATTCAATAGCGATATTATATTTATATGTTTTTAACAGATAAAGGAAACTAAATCTCCTAAACAGGGAACTAGGGTAAAACAATTAATGGAATCACCGCAAAGTAAAGTAGTTACCCGTCACGAAGGTATTATTACAAACAATAAAATTCACATATAAAATGAAAATATTTAAATATTGATATAATTCTTCAATTAAAAACACATAATGTTTAATTTCTTGCTAGGTAGAATTAAGTTACAACAAAAACAAGGGAATACAGGGACAATACCAACTGGTGAAATATTAGAAAGTCATTATGAACCAGAAGATATATCTATACATGTGGAGCAGGCAACTAGTAAGACAAATTTTATCCAGAAACAGAAACATATATAGTTTGTATTTTATAATTGCAAAGATATTAATATTTTATATTTTTGTTATGGGCGAACTAAATAGTTTTAAAGGAAAATACTCTTTAATAAAATTTGTATTTTATAATGCTCATGTTTCATTAATTTTTTTTATTCCCTATAACGCTTCAATGGAACTATACCGAGTTTGTAACTTTTACTTTCCGTTATGTCCAATGCAGAAAATGACAAACGTAAAAATACTTTCTCTAGCCTTTCTTTCTAATGCGTTACCAGAAAAAGTCATAAAGAACTGCAGTTCTCGTACGTAGCACTTTTAAAGTGAGTCATCCGATTACTTTTCTGCGTAAAATTTCTAGAATGAATTTACGCGGCATCGATTCAAGGATCTATGTAGTTATCAATCGCTGTTGTGTAACACGTTTTTCATTGGGTTCGTGCTGTACTTTGCAGTGCCGTACACTTTCCCTTCAGGCCCCATTATCACGACGCTGAATTTTTAAAATTGAATACGTTGAATATCAATTCGAACATAAAAAAGCATTAATTATTTACGTTTTAATTATAGATGGATGTACAGTAATGCTCATTGGATCTGATCGACGTAAATCTGTTTTCACGGACACAGTTTAAACTTTTAATTAAAAAGTAGAAATCTAGCGAAACTGCAAAACAAAAATATATCTTGTACAAAATTCACCTGACTACTCGTTAATTGTAATTGCAATTAAATCAGCTTTTATTGGAGCTTTCCTATGCTTCTAAACTTTGGATTAAACAAAAAAGAGATTAATGTTTGAAGCAATTGAAATTCAGCCTTATGTGAACACGGCCCTGGTTTGCGCATGGCACGAACTGTGTTGGTTGCACACGCTGCTCAGGTACTCTGGTATAAGAGAGCCCCTGGTAGGAGATGATCGATAAATTCGAAACAGCACAGCGGAACTGACAAGTAGTCATTGTGCTTTCACGGAACTCAGCGACTCAGCGAACCAGATCAATCACCAATCAAAATGCCGGGACCAGCTTGCGACAAGTGCTCTGGTAAGTGTTGCTACCAATTTCTACGATTCATTTCCACATTAAAAATATAATTTAATTAACCAATTTGAATGAAATATAATTTCAAAACCTGTCGCAATAGTTGGAAATCATGAATTTTCGTTAACTTATCGAATTGTTTTCAAAATCTGTTTAAATTTGTTGATAGTACACACAACGTATCTTTTATAATCAAATAATTAAACTAATTTGTCTTCAATTTTTGTTCACGATTATTATAACAACATAAATTGACTCACAAACAACTTGTTTCCAAAAAACAATTATTTATAAATAATGTCTCTTCGTTTAATTTTAAAAAAACAAATATAACAATATTTCTTTCTAATTCGTTTCTGTCTACGTGTTATTGCAAATAAAGCATTTGGATCGGAATTATAAAAGAAATTTCTACACGTTTCAATAATTCTGGAATTTAATAAGCGGATGATCTTGTTCTACGTGGAATTTCTTTGGAACGCCTTAATATACCGTTCGCCGTCTATGGTTATCGGTCTGTGTAGGAAGCAATGAAATAATTTATCCATCAAGCTCAATTGCTTGGTGGGGCTCAATTGATGAGTTTAATCAGTTTGTCATCCGTTGTTATCGAATAATCTGCGTTTCCTCAATAAATTATTTGGAATATCTTAAATTACACAGTGTCTAACGTCTTGGTACACTATTTTATTTATGTCTCAATTTGTTACAGACAAATGCAAGGACTGCAAATGCGGCAGTTCGTGCAAGTGCTGCGACTCCGGCTGCGGAGGTAATTATTTATGTATAATAGAGTTTCACTAAATATATTCGGTTAATGTCCCATGAATGATATTTCAAAAATGACAATTATATCACGCTGTACAAATATAATTCTCAGCATTGTATTCGTCATACTGCCTCCAGAGTGTTCCGCTTGAACTGCGTTTCGTATAAAACACAGTGATTGCACTTCCACGAAGTGTAGTCACGATATTTAGCTCCAACCGTGCGCGTTTCGTTTTATTTTGTTTTGTGTACCCGGCCAACGACCGGTGAATAGCTAGCGCTAATGTCGGTTCGGTGAACATTCCACTGAAGGTTACAATACGAAGTACAAACATCAATTTGTAATTTCTACAGATTGTTTCAAGTATTTTTTACTTTGAGATAGGTCCGTAAAATCGTTTCGATTTTACGATTAACGCGTCAAATGCCGCGATTTCTAGAGTCAAATGCACAAAATGCAAGAAATACAATATTAAATCGTTTGGTCGAATTGAATTATTATCATTGCACGTTGATTTAGCTGAATGTCACCGCATTAGGTAGCATTATTTATAATATAGAAACGTTTTCAAATAATCACCGTTTAATTGAGTGAACTACAGTAATTCGATTCGGTTGAAGGTCATCGGTGACCTCCATGGCATTCAACGCGTTAAAATTGATAATTAAGTTGAATTGAATTGAAATGAAACGCAGAATTATCGAAATATTTTTTAAATCGTATTCATGCTATTTATCTTACAGATCAATGCGCTTGCAAATCCGGAGGACAGTGTGCTTGCAAGCCCTGTAAGTGCTAAATTGAAAAGATGGCGCTACTAAATTCGATCTAATGGGATGGAGGTTGCGACGATAAATCAGCAGTCAAGATCTTAGATGCTATTATCTATACATCAGACTCTTTTTTCTATTTACTGCCACTATCAGCAGACAACCAATGGAACTCGACGCCACATACTGTCGTCGTACTATATAACGTTATAGCGGCATGCTACGTATTTAATAAAAATGACGAATATCACTTCCGCATCTATCGCATCCCATCATATTCGTGTATATGAAATTTGACTGAATCATGCATTTTATATAATTGTTACTGCTTTAAAGATGTACACCAGAAATGTATTAAAATGATATAATAAATAATCTATATAAACCTATAACACGCTGGAATATACGAGAACTTATTCCTTTTAGTATTATACACCTATATAGTCGATAGATTGTATATTCAAAGATGGCTGTTCCTCTTTGTACTAAGCTCGAGGCGATTGCAATTCGTATCGGTTTAAATACACAATAACATCGTTTATGTTATTGCATCGTAGGTCGTGGAAATGTTATATTTTGTTTTGCGTTACGCAATTGTAATTGTAAAAGTATTTATCGCTGTTGACTTACCTCGCGTTGATAAGAAGCCGGGTGTTACGGCACTTAAAAGTAATCCCAGGTAAAGTACTTCTGATTATCTTCCCTCAGCTCACGTATCAATACTTTTCAGTTTTATTTTCCAATTCACCGGCACCGTTAAAAAGATAAAGTACGCACTTAAAGCACTTGCATCGTCGATAAACATTACATAAACTAAGCGACTTTGAAACGTAATCAATTTCGACGCGTCAAACTGGCGGCACGCGGCAATTTAAACTGACATAGGCATAATTCAAATTAGATGTATAAGGGAAACAAGCTAAAAACCTTAAAGTTCGTTATTTGCCGATTTCGTTGACCAATGACAGGTCAGCTTAGTTTACCATGCAAACACAGACATAGAATCCGATCCAATCGGATAGATTTCGCTAGTGTACTAGGACATTTGCGCCTGTGTCGGTATTTCAGAACCACAGCCAGGAAACCCCATTGGATGTGGTATCCTTATTTAAGCTTCACTTCGCCTGTACAGATGGCGCTATCGGCGCTAGTCAAATTTCTATGTAAAACCATAGTTTTAGCATTTCAGTGTCGCGTTCAAAAGTAACGGTTGTGAAATTTGAATGATCGTGAACACGAAGAAAATCTATTCTCTGTCATTGTCCTAAGTAGTCGTAATCTACACTGCGGTATTAATTTCGTTTCTTAATTGAAGAAAGAAGATGTTCAATTATGTTCTACTACGCCAACAATACATAACTATTGTTACGCTGTTACACTTTGATCGGATAGGTAATATATATTTTATCTACATAGTATTGCTTCATTTACTTGCATCCGAGAGGATTCGACAAATTTTCAACGTTGTCGTCAAATTTCGGCACTATCTGCGATGAATGTGTTGACTAGGCTCTTGGTTAGAGCAACGAGCAATTTTCCTTGAAACTTTTGGACCGTTTGAAAGTACGAAATCGTTTGATGGAAGAACCGCGTGGTCCAACTCCCTTGTTGCTAATTGAAAATGTATTACAAGGATCTGACGTTCGCATTAAATATCGAGCAAAGTGCACCAGGTTCCCTGTATTTGCACAGACCGTGTTGGTCCTTGCCGTATCGTAGAACAGAGAGAATGATTGAGTTCGTCGGTATCAAACAGAGTTTGCATACCTCCGTTCGGTTCTGCCAATGAGCGTTTTGTTGATCGATCGATCATTGATAGCCGGCTCTGTATCTGGAATATAAATCGACCCGAAGCCATAAAATTGTGTATTTCGTGGTAAGAGAACAACGGTTCGCGAATTCGAAGAATCGTACGGCGAGCTGATAATGAAATGGATATTAAAGTATTTTTTGTATTATCAATTCTCATTTCAAACAGAAGGAGCTTCCAGCATAGGGCAATCTCTTTAATGCAAAATTTTTAGGTACATTTTATAGATTCCTATTGAAATTTATAGAGTTAACATTTTTCCCTTGAACACGGTTTTAAATTACTCAGTCCTAAGTTTTCGTGGGTACGCCATTTTTTCGGTAGACAATTTGCAAGATGGCGGATCAAGCGTTACATATGGGAGTATTCCGTTCAGTTCTGATATTTTGATTAATTTTTTATGGTTTCTAAATATTCATCGAGTTTTTTCAATATTCGTACGGGTTGAAATATAATCGATAACTCGAACAGAATAAAATATTGAATATTGCCAACGTGAAACGTTCGAACTAGGTCGACTCGGCTCTAATTCGTCTGTTTCTGGAAAAATACGATCGGATACCAGCGTAACCGCGATTCAATCGTACGAGGCGGTCACGAATCGGCGGCGCTCCTTTAATTGATAACTCGATTAATTATGCATTCGGACTTTGAGCGCAACACCAGTTCGCCAGTTCAAACAAGGGTGGCAAGTCGTCCGGAATGCGGCATGCAAAGTGCCGCTTGCGTGAGAAACGGTTGCGAGCGAACGTGGCTTTTGTTAAAAGCGCTTAAATTTATAATCACTGTCGTTATCGGCTATGGCGATCGAAAGTCAATGGTGGCTGAAAATTAAGAGTAATTTCGTAAAAAATATTTCGAATCTGTTGAAATGCATCCCCATTCGAGTTAAATATCGATCCTCTTCGGTCGTTTTAATAATTACGATTACAATAACTTCGTTGCTTATATTGTACTCCAAACTCAATCTAGATTTGGTTTTAGTCTTTAATCTTAGTCATCAGAACCTAAACTTTCCCTCGATAAACCTTGAACTTCAAACTGAACTTACTCATCAATGACGCATTCCCACTTCCTATCCCACAATCTCCCTTTTTCTAGTTTCCTTTCCTAAGTCGCTGTCCATATCTTGTCTAACTCTGCCAAACCGTTTTCAATCGAACATCGAAGCTTGTCAGCGATAAGTAATCTCTTACGCTACCTTAAATTTCGTCTATTTCAATTTCTTTCAAAACTTTTTCGCTTAGTCTTTTTCTTCAATAAAATTCGAAAGAAATTGTTCATTCAAAAATTGTTTCTGCGATGCTCTATAAGGACAACGAATCGTTTTTCTCTCGGTAGTAGCATCTGAGGGAGAAAAATGAACGGATTACCCTCAAGAAATTATATATATCTTTATGAAAAGAGTCGCTCCGACACACGTTGCAGATAAAGTCGTATAACTTCGTACAAAGTCGACGAATGGGAACACGTTCCTTACCTTACGTATCAAGCAGCAGTATAGGAGGAGAGAGGAATTATAGCTCACGAAGGCCTATAAACGCGGGGCGTAAGAAAACCGACGAGCAACGAGGGGGCAGCAACTTTCAGCTCGCGACCGGGAAAGGTTGAGACCGTTAACGACACCCTGCGCGGCTTTAAAAACTAATATTTCCATCATTGTTAGTTTTTATGATGTGGCGAGTAACGTGGCCTCGCGTCGTTCGCTTAAACGAAAAACTACGACACGGATGGAGCTTTTCGATTCGCAGTTGCACGATAGGCAAAAAAATATAATTCCATCAATTCATTACCTACAGGAGGATTTGTTTAACTTCATGAAAACGCGCGTTTTTCATCTACCAAAGGGCGATGGTCAACGATTTCCTTTTTTTTTGGTTAACAGAACAAATTTATCAGTCTGAGTTTTATCTGTATACAGTTAGATTTGTTTGTTACCATTACGTCGAATCACGGAAAAAATACTGAACACTATTAACGTTGGATATCAGTGCGATCGATAAGCTTCTCGTTGCTGTTTCATTTAAACATTTCAATTAATCCGAATTACTTTAGTGTTTAAAGAAGATTATGCCATTAGCTCACAGTTCTCGAATAGCTTCTATAATGTATTTCGCCAGTTTATTGTTCAATGATGTATTATAGGCGTTTATGGGTTTACATTAACGGCACGGTGGAACATTTTCCAGTATTTTCGTTACTTCTCCGGGCTCCTCGTGACAAGTGAAAACGCCCAAGTGAAAACAGTCTCCAGAGACACTACGGCGCAATGCTCGCAGCCTCGGCAGGTGAGATCGTTAGCGCGGAGAGTGTGACTTCGCATTGTGCCTTGGAGTACGTCTTAAGTGTTAGTTTATTGTTACCCGCTACCCGGTGGGCAGGCCGGTCCTACATATTTAAGGTGGTCCATTAGTGCTCAGCCACGTTTATGTTTCGGCATGCTGGAACACAGAGTACGCGACTCGCGTGACGATTCTTCACGGATCTTTCGCTCGTTCGTCATCGGTTCGCGAACGAAACTGTACGAGTTTCGTTTACGAACGACCCGATAGCCCGAACGGTTAGACCTTGGAAATTGGTAGGCTTGTTTTTGTCCCAATTATAGGGTCGCCGCGTTGTCCCGGCATCCTTTAAGAGAACGAAAAGGCAATTTTACCGACCGAGGACACGCGGTAGGCGGGCTCATTAAACTTTTCGTCGTTTCATCCTTTGGTGGAATCGTGTCGAGAGCAACGGCTCCCGCGGGAACACCGGCGTGGCTCGATTATACCAACCGCCAAGAGAGATCTACCAGAGGGAAGGATTATACGGCGTAAAGAAGAAGGGTTAAAATAGTCCTTTTCCCGTCGCGGAATGAGAATTCGAATGCCAACCTGGGGTTCGTTTAAGTAACTGGCAGAGAGAAAGAGAGGGGGACAGAGGGAGAAACAAAGAAAGAAAGAGAGACAGTGAATGAAATCGCAGGAATGATAGAGCCAGAGAGAAGGAGAGGGGAAGCAGTCTCTCGTCCTTTTCGAAACACGTCTTTCCTCTTGGTGTTTTCGCCTTTGTAGCTCAACCCCGCCGGGTCCAATCGTGCGAAATTAATGTCTTGCCATTATTAGCGGAAGTTAACCAAGCCGGATAGCCGAGGAAACTAGCAACGCGCCGCGACCACGAGTATACTGTTGCGGCGACTGACGGGAGGGAGCAAAAATGGCAAGTTCGCGGGAAGAAGTTATAAGTTTCCGGCTCTTCTTCCCTGCTTGTCGCCCCGTGTTTCTTCGTTAATGTAATTGACTGCCAGTGAAAGCGCCGATCTGGCAAGTAGATGACACATGAGACCAGTATGCCCGGTTTCTCGCCGATCTCGTGTCCGAGCTGGTCGCCCGATTTATTGAATCGACGGTAAGACGATACGACGGACGGATCGAATTATACGCGACGGGAACAGGCTCTAGCCAAGATGCATTGAATTCCAACCGCAGTCTTGAATGACTTATTCTCTGTTTACGTATTC